TAATCGTAACTCATTCAAAACTTTATATTGTCCTAGTTTTCTATGTGTAATCTATTTGCGTCGATACGTCGTACGTTATATACACGTATCGCTGAACATCAGCTAATCAAACGTGAAATCCCAATAAATTTGAAATCATCGTGCGATTACCGTGGTAAATTTTATCAGTATATGTATCCCAATGATTAACAGATAATAGCAGTTGACGTATCGACTCTAAATAATCTACGTTTAATCATTTGCATGAAATTTGAATCGTGACGTTTGGGAAGGGTGACATCGAACTGCTTCTACACATATTGACTTGGCTAATTCAACTTAACAGACAGAAATTGAACGTCTTCCTTGTTCGTAATATTTAACTAACAATAAATTATGCCGATTCGTTATTCCAGCGAGACGCTTGGAAGTCAGCCTAAATCTAAAATAATAAATGTAATTTGTGCTCGATCGAAATTGATCTCGTTGATTTTATTCATCAGTCACGCTGGAATAAGGAGTGCAGTAAAAAAAGTTTCGAATATTCTTTACTCGTTCAAATACGTATATGAATGTTTGAAAATTCTCAGCACTACTGAGCACACATTAATATAGCATCAGAATGTTAGGACACGGGAAGGAAGCTTAGAATCGCGCCTATATTTTCAAACATATATAGTCTCGTAATATTTTCAACGTAAATCGATCTCGACGAGGCTCAGTCGTTTCATCGATCCGATCGTTGAAATTTTCGTGTCTCTGCGATGCTAAGCTTTCGTGGGTAATCAAGAAGCTACTTGGAATATTTGGAAATTCTCTATTCGAACGAAATGATTTCCACATCGTCCATGTGAAATCCTACCACGAAGAAGCTAACGACAAACATCCATTCGAATTCAATCCTCGATTGCAATCTCACGTGGCTCGTTCATCGACTCGTTCGATTCTATGAAAGTAACCGCAATTACGTTGTTGCATAATAAACAATATAGATTAACGATATCGGCAATCGGAACAGCGAGGCGAGGTGAAAGAACCATGTGAGAGAGCAACACGGAGGTTCCTTGTCTCAACAGGGATATATCGCTAGGGACTTCCATTTTCGTACGAATTATACTCGAATCGTAACTAATGATAAACTCACCTGTCTGGTTGATGTCCGACCAAACTTAGTCGTTCTCCAATTTTCAAGTATCAGGAGGGAGGCGTATATCTTACCAACGGTCATCTTACCTTTGCCCAATTCTAAAACAAAACGTACGCACATTTATCGGCACACTGTTACAAACGGAGCTGTAACAAATTGATCAAAGAATTCTTACCTTCGTCCCTAGGTATTAAAAGGTCCAACATTTTTTTTGCTTGCAGAGGCCAAATCTTTTTAATCGTATCTCTCAGTTCTTCATTCGCTTGATCCCTCTCAGAGGCTAAAGATTCACCGAAATACAAAGTGCAAATTAAAACTCAAGCAATCTCGATCAATTTGACGTAAGCTGTTTATCATCCAAAGATAGTATATCAATTGATGATTAAATAAACCGAGTAGTCGTTTAGGCTTTATAAATCAAGGAAATAATCTGAACACTCACCTTTTCTCATTTTAATATTAAGATTCTCGCGAATGAGGGCGAACAACGTGGTGGTGAAGTTCACCTTCATGTCCTCGTCCACTGGCATGTTCATCCTGATAAGTTTCTTATAGGCAAGCCTGTTCGGACATTTATTACCAAAGCCCAACGGTGGTTCCATGTTCTTGAGCATGTCGTACATCTCGGTGTAAAGTATCTTAGCTGTTGCGTTTGGATCGTATTCGGCCCAGATCCGAATGAACTCGTCCAAGTGATGAGCGCCCAAGATCGACGAGTCTCTCGTCAGATAATCAAAATTATCCATAATGACGGCGACAAACAGATTCAGCATTAAGAACGAACAGAAGAAGATGAACGAAACGAAGTAGGCGTACGCGAGGTTCGAACCACAGCCACCAGGTTGCTTGCCGGCCTTCGGGTCACATGGACGACCTTTCACGCAGGACAACATGATATTCGGCCATGACTCACCAGTTGCACACCTGGTAAAGATTTGGTTTTACGTTTCAATTGCTTGTTGCAAATAGATTGTTCGTAAAGAGAGGTCACCGTCTTCAAATCTCCGATTTTTTACAAAACTTTGGACACATTTTTAGCACCACAGTATTTTTGTTACTCGTAATATCTATTATTTGCGTCATGATCGAGATGCAGAATTTTTATAAATATATAGTTTGAAAATTTTGTAGTATTTTCGATACGCGAGAAAAATATTTATTATTCTTGTGCTGAATATTTCATCAAAATTGGAAACTCAAAGATGGCGATCACTCCTCGTTATAGACTTCTACCATAATTTGAAAGCTGCGCCTATCGAAATTTCATAGACTCTTTTGCGTTATAATCGACGACTTTTGAAATTCATTGTCACACTCTTCGTCCGCCGGAAGATGACTTTTTTAAATGAAAGCTATTAAAGAAACTTCAAAATTCGTCGATCCGTACTTTCATGCAAATTACTCAACTCAAAAGCACATGATATGTCGTCAACGGGAACTTCTATACTTTATCAGTATCAAGCTACAAACTCAGGTACCAACAAGTGAAATGGCAAATTATACAAATATTTCGGTAAAGGATTGAATTTATCATTGAGAACATGGTTCATGCATAGAACTTTGCATCTTCGTAGTTTAATGCAACACCGAAAGCGAGTACTGGTTTTAGTAACTCAATTCTCTACTCGACTGCTCAACTACAATGTTAGTTTGAACTTGTAATATAGGCGTAGTTTAGCCTGTTTATGGTTAGTGTGTTAGTTAAAACCGATACAATATAAATGTAACCACCTCTATCCTCATACACATATCTTTCTTTTTCTTATAATCCGAAAGATCGTCCAATGAGAATTAAGTTCCTCGAGAATTCAAGTTTCTTTGCGTGTGTTTAACTTTCAGCGCAGTGCTCTTTTCGCCAAAAAAAAAAAAGAAAGAAAGAAAATGAAACACCGGCGATAAAATAAAACGATATAGAAAACAGAAATAAATATAATATAAAAAGAACAGAACGAAAGTAGCTGGTTTTCCATTTTTTTAATATCCTAGTTCGTGATGTATTACTTACCGAAAAAGTAACATCAGAGCTTGAACGAAACTTTGGAAATTGTTGTGCTTGGTAATAGAAGTAGTAGCATCCAGCGCGATGTTACCGAATACCTGAGACCGACAGAAAGAAAAAGGCCGTGC